ACATTATACTTCTATACAGTAGAAGGGACAGATCCTGTATCTGTTATTCACATCTCTAAATATGCTTAGCGGCATACCCAACGCATAACTGTACGTCTACCAGTATTTCAGATAGCATTAGTTATGAATCAAAGCATACGGCCCCACATATCAGAGAATGTAATAACTTCAAGTCTGAGGATAGTTATAGCAAGGTCGATTTGAGAATACTGATAAACACATTACAGTAGATCCATGCAGTATTCTCAAGATGGGTCAATCCAGTCACATATTATCAATATAATATGCACCTACGTACAGATTAAGATATCACAATACCTATAGTCTATGAGACGCAACTATCTCATCTCGTACGTACTAGTCTTGATACGTTATGACGTCCGTATTATCATAAAGTGCGACTAGGGATATTCTAGACATAGCCTTCGTCAAGAAGTAACAGTATCATAATCAGAACATCGTAGTCCTCATCTATGTTACTGAAGCGCTATCGTCTATGGACTGAATCTATGTTATGTTACACGAGATATAAAACATACTTCAAAGCCTTTCATTCATGATAAAGTGTACAGTTACATAGGTATTTGATTGCCGCTAGGGCACCTAAATACAACATCTTCCGTAACAAGATGGATGAAAATGGCGTTGTTGTCAGAAACAAAGCCTGGTTGGTTGCAAAAGTTATTGTCAAGAAGAAGGTATAGATTTTGATGAAACCATCGCTCCAGTTGCTAGACTTGAAGCTATAAGGCTATTCCTAGCCTTTGCTGCTCATAAGGACTTCAAAGTCTATCAAATGGATGTCAAAAGCGCATTTCTCAACAGAAATCTAGAGGAAGAAGTTTATGTGGAACAACCTCCAGGATTTGAGTTACACACTAAAGGCGATCAAGTGTACAGACTCAAAAAGGCGCTATATGGACTCAAACAAGCACCAAGAGCTTGATGGAGAAGATCTCTTATTGGTCCAAATCTATGTGGACGACATCATATTTGGCTCTACTAAGGAAGCTCTTTGCACCAAGTTCTCCACCCTCATGCAAGGAAAATTTGAGATGAGCATGATGGGGGAACTCAACTACTTCCTTGGTCTTCAAATCAAGCAAAGAAGTGAAGGAACTCTCATCAACCAAGCCAAGTACACAAGGGATCTTATCAAGAAATTCAAAGTTGATCAGAAGTCATCCGTTTCTGTACCCATGAGTACATCCACCAAGCTTGATATGGATCTAGATGGAAAGGATGTTGATCAAACTCTCTACAGAGGAATAGTTGGATCTCTACTCTACCTTACTGCAAGCCGTTCGGATATCTCATATGCAGTAGGTGTTTGTGCCAGATTCCAGTCAAAGCCAAAGGAAAGTCATCTAATAGCAGCCAAAAGGATTCTTAGATACCTCAAAGCAACTCAGAACATGGGTTTGTGGTATGCTAAGAGCAGCTCATTTGAGTTAGTGGGATACTCAGATTCTGACTTTGCCGGATGCAAAGTTGACCGGAAAAGTACATTTGGTAATTGTCAATTCATTGGTGGAAATCTTGTTTGTTGGTTCAGTAAGAAACAAAACTCCATCTCTACATCAACAGCAGAAGCAGAGTACATTGCTGTTGGTAGTTGTTGTGCTCAGATCTTGTGGCTAAAGCAACAACTGCTGGACTATGGAGTCAAGACAAGAGAAGTGACAATCTTTTGTGACAATCAAAGTGCTATAGCCATCTCAAAAAATCTAGTGCATCATTCTCGCACTAAGCACACTGATGTCAAGCATCACTTCATCAGAGATCATGTGGAAAAGAAAAATATCAAAATTGAGTATATCTCAACTGAAGAACAATTGGCGGATATCTTCACAAAACCTCTAAGTGAAGCCAAGTTTTCCGATTTGCTTCACAAAATTGGTCTAATTCAATTAGACTGAGTGCGGTACACATGGCAGTCCACTTTCCACGTCTGTCAGAATAATGGGTAGGCACGTGGTCTTGGGAACAATTAAAAACCTAATTGACACTAGCCGCATAAATCGCCCAAATTAAACCCAATCGCCACTATAATCAGATCTCAACTGCCCACTCAATGCACTCAAATTTTTCGTCGTCTTCTTCGCGAGAACTCTTTGATAGAATTCTCAAGAACCCTAATTTCTTTAGATTTTCTCACTCAAATTTCTGAGAAAATGAAGATTGTTGGCGCTAATGTCCATTTCCAGAAGTTGGAAGCCAAATGCTCTTCACCAACGTTCTACCAATCCTATCTGGAGATGATTGCTGCTCAAGAACTCTCCGAATTCCTTCATATGGAAATTCGATTCAAGTATGAGAACGAAGTTCTTGAATTCTACAAAAACGGAAAGGTCAAGACTGTCCAATCAAAGAAGAATCCACAGAGGACAATTCAAATTATCAAGTCCACTATTGGAGGGGCCAAAGTGAAAATTTCGTAGAAGAAATTGAAGGAGAAACTTCACCTTCCCAATACTGGAAGTGAAATTGGGAGACTTCCGGCCAAGAATCTGGATTGGAAGACTATTGGGATTTCTGGGCAAATCCCCTCTGGTCCAGCGAAGAAATCAGATTTGAAGAATGATTACAAGTTAGTCCTGGAACTGGTCATCGCATGCCTTGAATGTGGAAATGGAGGACATGCTGATGACATCACTCAAGAAAGGGCCTTCATCATCAACGCCCTCATTACCAAATCTAAGGTAAATTGGGCTAACCACTTCTTCAATTCCATCTCAAAGCACTTAGGGAAGCCCAAATAGAAGTATCTGTGTCAAGGTTTGTACCTTGGGTACATCTTGGAGACCATGGGTGTTAGCTCAGAAGGCAAGAAATATGGAGCCAGATATTGGCTTTACTACCTGGCTTCCAAAGGAGAACAAAGTCAGTTCAATCGCAGAGGAAAGTTCTTCAGACAATGTCCTTATCATGAGTCTGAAAAAGTCAGTAAAAAGGAAGCAAGTGGTGTCTCCCTCTCCCAGCGCTGAAGCACCACAGAATCTAGCATTGTTGAATCTGGAAAAGAAGAAGAAGAAGTTTCTACCCAAGGAGAACTACAAAGGAAGAAGAAAAGGAAAATCACCTCTCCCTCAACATCTGGAAATACCAACCCGGATGAGTTGGTGGGAAGGGAACCTGTTGAGGAAACCTCTGCCCACAACCAAAGCCCTCAACAACTTGATGAAGAAATTCCTCAAGTTCAAAGTTCTCCAATTCCTTCACCACAGGCTCAAGTTGATGATGCTGAGAACCAATTCTGGCCGCTCTATTATGACTGGAGAGCTTGGAAGGTTGGGAACTCAGGAGAACAGTTGGTGGGATGGGACCAATAACTGAAAAATGAGAAAATAATCAAGTGATGCTTAGGTCTGCCAGTCAACTATTGTTGTGAGCAAATCCTAGGTGTTGACTGGGTATGGAAAAGGAACTATGAAGACTTGCATCTGGAACACTTGGTCACCTCACCAGTTTCAGAATTTGAAGCTGATGATGAGGATCCTTCAGCCTACAAGCCAATCTTTTCAAAGGCAACAGAAGATCAGATGGATCTCACCACTGAAGCACAGGTTAACATGGAAGCCACAACGGAGGACTTTCAAGTCTTTCCATAAAACTTCCATGCCTTTGAAACTGTTCTGCCTGAAGTTGTCTAGGAGAATGCAGCTTCTCCCCAACAAGAACAGTCTCAAACAACATCAGAGGAAAAACTTCTTCAACTCCTCCAATCTCACGTTCAAGAGATTCTCACAACTCCTTGTGAGATCTCCAATCAGCATGAACTTGAGATTCCGGAGAAGTCAGAAGAAAATTTGGAGAAGTCTACTCCTCCAGAAACAAATGAAGTCCAAGAAGATCAAGTTGTAGAAATCCAGAGGAGTTTTGCAGAAGGTGAAAAGGAAGCTCAAATAGATGGACTAGAGACCTCTGAAACTCCAGCTGCTATCTTTGAGCAAAACATTGGACAAGAAGAAAGAGATTCCTTCTCTAGGGATATCTCAAACTTTGTGCTTGATGAGACAGAAGAGGAGTTTGAGAAAACCCTGAAGATTGATGATGATGAAGCTGAGCAAGGAGATGCTGAATCCCTCCCCTGCAACTCTTCCATAGAGCACCTTCTTCTCATTAGGTAACTAACTTCCACTTTCACAGTTCTTCCACATCCACTCTTCCGGATGAGGTACTAGAAAACTGGACAAGAAAGGTCCAAGGGTTGATTGAATCAGCCCTAGCGTCTCAGCATGCCTCCTTTAGGCAAGAGATAGAGCGGATGGAAGCTAGGCATAACAAGCTAATGGAGAAATCCAAAGAAAAATATTGCTCAGATCTCAAGGAGATAAGCAAATCGGTGGACAAGACTCTAGATATTATTTCTCTTTTGAGTAACTCTGTAAGCAACACAATGGAAGCTTATGCATCTGATTGTCATCTTCAACTCAAAGAAGTTAATAAAATCAGAGAGCAAATAGCAACTATCACAGTCAGCCTTCAGAAGCAGATGGCATTCCTTCAGATGGATATTAGATCAGCATTGGCAGTGTCTTCAGCAAATTAGGTAGTAATCCAAGACTACTTGAAGGTTATTGCTGAAAATCAGAAGGAAGCATTCAGGCTATTCGGGCACTTTAGAACCTACACTGGCAATCGCAACATAGATGTAATTGTCCAACACAATAGTCCATCCCTAATTCCACAGCTTCCTATTGAAGTCAAGGAAGGAGAGCTCACTTACATTCCATTCCACCTGAACATGACGGAACTGATACTGGAAGCCCAGCAGAGCAATCCAGAGAACTCAACTCAACATCTAACAGACTCTGGCCTTGATGGATCAGAAGTTGTTGGAACCATTGCCTCCCACTTCTCAGATGATGCACAAACAAAGGAGAGATACAACAACCTCAGGTGCATCAAAGAACAGTGTGGAATTATGCAAGGCATTGGTGAGACTGCCGTATCATCAAAGTGCAGGAAGCAGTGAAGGCTTTTTTCATCAAACCAGGGGGAAGTATGTGAAAACATTATTTGGTTTTGATGAAAACACCTTCTTGTTTAAACATGAGTTTTGGTTTAAACATTGCTTAATATCTCTCTTAATTACGCTTATTTTGCTTGATCATATTCATTTTAAGTGTGATTCTTGCGATTTATCTTTAAGCGCATACATTCAGGGGGAATGTAACTCAGGGGGAACTTAACTGTTTTTGGCTAACAATTGCTTCAATTGTTTTTGGCAATGAACTATTGATAAACTCTAAGCAATGGAAGCCGGATACCTCAGTTTAAGTACTAAAGTTGGAGATCTCCGATTCAGGTACTTTACAAAATCTGTCTTCTTAAACTGAGCTTTAATCCTTAGTTCATTTCCAACTTTGCTCTTAAGTACTGGTCCTTAGGATTTTTATAATGTACATGACTTTGGAAAAATAGTACCACTTTTCTTTTAAAAGTGAATTTCATATTTTTTTTGGTACTACCTCGTCCTAATTAAAAATTAGAAATATAGGGAATGAAAAATGATAGTTTATTTTGGGCCTTGAGAACCCAATAGGAATAATTTCCCTTTATTACATAGATTTTTTTTGGGCCACTCTTTTGGGCTTAGCCAAACCAAAACAGTTACGTTTTTCAAACCAAACGAAACTGATTGTTTTTAATTGATTCAGTTTCAACACCTTGGTAACTGGTAAAAGATTCTTTCAACTTTTCAGAATTCAACTTCTTGGAAGTTGAAACTCTTTTACTCTCACCGTTCCAACTACCCACTTAATGGAACCCGTGAACCTTTCCTCTCTCTACCTCTTCTCCTATTTAAACCAAGACATTCCAATCTATTCCTATCACAAACAACTCTCTCAATATGAAAAGTCTTCAAACTCACTGTCTGAGAAAAACACCAAGAAAAATATATATCCTCAATGGAGAAATTTTTCTATCTCACCCTCATAGACGGCAATGGAGAAAGCCTAATGAGAAGAAAATACTTTCAAGGTCTATGGTGAGAATCTCGGCAGTAGAGAAGGTCTGTGGTGAAACTCTCGTATTTTTCAAGATTACACCATACACCTTCTCTGGAAACAACACTCTCTCCATTTTTGTTTCATCTAATTCTTTTAAAAAAAATTCTTTCTTTTCTTTTATTTATGCAATCTCTGCACCCTTTTCCCAAGCATTTTTCGAAAATTTTTTGTGCAGTCTCTGCTCCCTTCTCGCAAACATTTTTTTTTCAAAATTACTTTTTCAAAATTTTTCTTTCTTTTCACCATATTTTTCCTTTAAACTCTTTTTCAAAATTTTATTTTCATCTTTAAAAACCCTTATTTTATCTTTTTCACAATCAATTCTTTTCTCCAAAACCTTTTTCTTGTCTTTTTATTTTTTTCTTTTTCCTCCACCGCCGCCTCCTTTCCCTCCACTTTCTTTTTGTTCTTGTTTTTGCTTTTTTTTGGAGAGATGTTGCCTCCAAGATCTCAAATATCCACTTTGGATATTAAAGATCTATCAAACGCACCGCCACCTGTACTACCAAGCAAAATCTGCTCGAAATGAAAGCGGCAAATGGCAAAAAATATCACAAATCTCAAGACAAGACTTGGTTTAGGAATTATTGTAATTTGAATTGTATTTGTTTAAGAGTTTTTGTTAACAAGCTGTATATTATGAGAAACTAAAAGAAAGTTATAAAATTAGTTCTGAGTACAATGACCGGAACTCTTAAACACTTGTTTGTCATCATCAAAAAGGGGGAAATTGTTGGGAAAAATATTATAGATTTTGATGATGATGTATTTAGATTGTAATAGGGACTTTAGGTCTCCCCCAATATTCAATGTAATTTTTATTTTTAGAAATAATGTTAAAACCGAGTTCTTGAGATTTCCAATAAAGTTGTGATATTTCACTCTTTGGTTTGATCTTTGAAGACTTAATCAAATTCTGTGATATGGATATTGGATATCTTCTTCGGAAACGTCAGAGACAAGTAAGGATTTCTCAAAGCAATTGAAGATCCTCTAATTCGGAACACTACATGATAACCGGATGTCTCGTTATAACCCGCTGAAGGCTAAGTCATCCAAATCGGAAGACTAGCGCGGATCTCTTTCTCACCCGGAAGTCTGTGAATGACTCTTCCGGATTTCTCAGCGAAAGAACCGGATGCCTCAAGAAAAGACCGGAACTCTCAAAAGCGGACAAGTGAGAAAAGACTTAGAAAATTATCTAAGTCTTGAATGAAGAAATTCTACCCGTTGGAAAAGAAAAATCAATCTCTTGATTTTCAATGGCTAGATTGAAGATAATTAAGCTGATTCAAGAACAAATAACTTGAAGACAAAGTCTGGACCCCTCAAATTAAAGAGCTCGTCCAGAATTCCTAAACAAGCACTAGAAGACAAACAGAGTAAAGAGCTACAGTCCAGAATTCTTGAACAACAGCTAGAAGACGGATTCTGTGGAAAAATGAATCTCTCCTCAAAAAATTGGATATGTCCAAACATCCATTCCAATGAGGAATCCTCAATCACAATTTTCATTCAAAAGTGAAGCCATCAAATGCAACGGATAGTCTATTTTGATTCAATGGATAGATTATCCAATCCAACTATAAATAGCAACCTTGGAAGACTGGAGAATGCACGATGAGATAGAAAGCACGAAATACTTACAACGAAGAAAACTACAACAAAGCTATCTCATTCACAGTTAGCCAAAGAGCTTGATAAAGAGAGATTTCTAAACTCCTTATCCAGAAGCAAACTTCTCCTCCTTCCAAAGAGCTATAGTGTAAACACTTGAAGGTTTCCTTGCCTCAAGTACCACACCACGTTGAAGGATACAACTTTTAATCAAACTTCTTGATTAAAAAGGGGGTACACCAACTTTCTTACAAGTTGATCTTGCAAGTCCTATTGTTCGGATCTTGCAGTTGTTGAAGAAGCGTGACCTTCGAAGGAACAACAAAGCCAGCACGAGTGCAGTAGCAACATTGGCCTTGCGAAGATATACCGTGCAGAAATTCACACAAGTGTAATTGTTGGTTCATTATTCAACAACCAACTACATAGTGGATTTTGAGGACGTAGAAGGATTACTCCACCTTCGAACCTCGTTAAAGTTTGTGTGTCTCTCTCTTTTATCTTTACTCTTGCAATTATATTAACTGTGAAAACTAACCCATCTATATTGATTACTGCTCACAATACCCACCAACTTCCGCACACAATTCTAAGGTTCACAAGAACTCTAGAATAAACACTCATTTTCACGTTTTCAAAAGAAACGAAAAAGTTTTTAAGTTGTAACAAAGTCTATTCACCCCCCCCCCCTCTAGACTTTGTATCTCACCACTTTGGGACCACCATAGGCCAACCTTGAGACAACGCGAGGCTAAGGACGATTCGGACTGTGGCAAGCTTGATGACGGGGCTGAAGGTTTCGTTGTAGTCGACGCCAAAATGCTGATTGAATCCGCTAACCACCCATCGGGCCTTATACCTGGATAACTCACCGGACGGGCCAAATTTGTGTCTAAAGAGCCATTTACCGATGATTATGTTTTTAGTGGGGGAAGGGGGTACTAGTTCCCATGTATCATTCTTTAACAAAGCATTATATTCATCACACATAGCAGCATGCCAGTTTGGATCTTTCAGAGCACTACGGTAAGTTGGGGGTTAGGGGGAGATGGATGTAGTGGTGTGGAGGTCCAAGATTTGTTTTGAGCAGAAGACACCGGCCTTGGAGTGGGTTTGCATGGGGTGGGAGTTTGCCGGTGGGGGAGGGGAGTGGGGCATGGGGTGGGTGATAAGTCCATTTCGTTCTTATCATTTACATCATATTCCAAACGTTATTGCACGTAAATAGTATTTAATCATCTCATAAAATGTGATTTTAATGGATAAAACTCTCATTTTCGTTCTAAGAGTCATAAAATGGGATTCCACATGAAATCATCATAAATCATTCATTTTTGTTCAAGTATTTGAGAAAATTGGAATAAATCATCAAGGGATCAAGATTCGGACTTGAACGAGCTTCCGGGAGGTCAGAAACAGTGTTCGGGGCCAAAACGGAGCGAAATTGGGCCAAAATCACGAAACAGCCGCGAAGCCCAACGGACTAAGGCCCCCAGGCGTCCAACTTGGACGCTTGGCCAAGTTGGACGCTTGAAGTTGGACGCCTGGGCTAGTTTGCAATCCAAGAAAGACACGTGGCAAAATCTGGTTGGCCGGAGCAGCTCAAGCGTCCCGATCTGGATGCTTGGACTTGGACGCTTTGACTTGGACGCCTTGGCTTCGTTCCTATAAATACAGCGCGATTCTCCCCATACACAACATCACTTCATCCCCTCTCTCGGGATTTGAGCTTAATATTCCATTTCTAAATATTAGTTTAGCATTTTAGTAGTTTTAGAATAAATTCTAGAGAAATTCTACTCCCGGTCTATTCTGTTCCGCCTTTACGGAAGTTGTAAGT